AAACAAGGGCACTCAGTGCGTGAAAGTTTGTCTACAGCTCTCCTAACCATACAGTTGGCCCAATAAAAGGCATCACCAGAAAACCTTTGCTTCTCATTATGTTTGACAGGCATTTGTTTAAGCTTCCTTGTGTGTATTAAAAAGCGGGAGGCCCTGTTGCTCCCTAAGTGATTGCACTGGCACATGAAAAGCCACATGCAATAGACAAAACCCTCTACCAAATGGCAAATCCCCAGGTCCATGCAATGGGGCTCTGACACATTAAACCAGGGACTGTCCTTAAAGGTATTCATGTGAACTAAATACAGGAGATGCTGTGCGTAGTTAGATGGAAAGTTCAATCTAGCAGAGACACACAGTCCAGTAGTTTTAAACCCAACAGCTGGTTTGCTTGTTTGAATTCTGAAAACTAAACATGAACTTTCAAAGGCTGTTGTGTTCACTGACAGCAAAATAGCACTGAAGAGATTTTTATATACAAAAATACATTTTTCTTTGCATACATCCTGCTGGAGCAATGCTTGTGCCATGTTCCCACCAGGGTAGTTCAAGGGCAGTCCACTCCCAGCCCGTGGGTCAGATCTGGACTCGTGGTTCTCCACACATCCAAAATTTGGCAACAGGGAAGCAGTAGCAATTAATACTGTCACTTCTTCCCCCACTGCCAAATTTCCAAGCTCTTTCTGGCTGGATCGGGTCCCGGCTAGGCTGCTCCCACACAGCTGGGATCAGGCCAGATCGGACGCATGGACCACATCCAGTCCAGACTGAGCTGGCGCCCCTTCTCCAGGCCATGGGGCAGCCTGCGCACATGAGAGCAACAGGATAACACGAGAGTAACTGTGGCTTGGAGGGCACTCTCTCTGAATGCTGGTTCTACCACACAATCTGCACCCTGTGGCAGGGCGCTGTCCAGAGCCCCTCGTACTTAGCCTGCTCTCACGTCCCGCTTTCTATGCGGCACTTTAAAGCCCCGATCCTGCAGCGGGGCCGCGCGTGCCTATGCCGAGCCCCGCTCGCTGCAGCATCACCTCGACCCCGCCAGGGCGGCCGCGGCGGTGGCAGCAGCTGTGAGCCCGGCCCGTGTCCCGCGCTGCG